CTCAGAATGTATCCTGTCAAGCGATGCATGACTAGTTGAGTGTGTATACTGGCTCACAATGTAATTTTTTTATTGTGGGTTGTGGTTAATAAACTTGAAAACCACTAACTAGAATAATCAGAGAATGAATACCATGTGTATTCATTTCCGTCATAGGTATTGGAGATAGAAGGATTTTTAAAACTTTATGGTCTGTCCTCGTAGAGCCTTCTAGATGAAGAGACAAACAGTAAACAGCCACATGAATACTTAAATTGTGATAAACATTATGAAAGAAAAATGGTTCCTTAAAGGAATATAATAGGAGGACCTGATTTATACCAGGAAGGGAGTCATTTCTAGGAGGAAGTAACATTTAACCTGATTGAAGAATGAGCAGCAATAATAGACTCAATAATTGTTAAATGAGTGACCATTAAGTAGGAATGAATGAAGCAAAGAGTAAAGGGAGCTTCCAGTTAGAGGACATTACGTGCGATGGCCTTACGGTATAAGAGAACCTAGTGCTTTCAAAGAGCTTAAAGAAGACCAATGAGGCTGGAGTATAAAAAATAAGTGGAGAGACAAGGGCCAGATGAGGCTGGCAGAAGCAAGAGGTACCAGCAGAAGGAAGGCAAAAGATAACAGTACAGAAGATTTCAGGGGCTGGCCTGCTGGCACAATGGTTAAGTTCGCACGTTCCGCTTTGGCGGCCTGAGGTTCACTGGTTCAGATCCTGGATGTGGACATGGCACCGCTTGGCAAGCCATGCTGTGGCAGGCATCCCATGTATAAAGTAGAGGAAGATGGGCATGGATGTTAGCTCAGGGCCAGTCTTCCTCAGCAGAAAGAGAAGGATTGGCAGCAGATGTTAGCTCAGGGCTAATCTTCCTCAAAAAAAAAAAAGGCAATTTAAACCAGCTATCATTTCTGTCACCCCTGGAGTACCATTAATGACAACTCAGCCTAAATTCTTCCAGAGCACGCTCCAGGAATTTTAATTTGGCCAAGACTTTTTCAACTTCTTAATAAGTAACCTGGAATCAGTAGCAATAATAACTAATTCCAAGTGACAGACATTATTCTAAACTCTACACGCATTAACTTCTTTAATCCTCTCAACGACCCAGTAAGGTAAGTACTACTATCATCCCCATGGAACATATGAAGAAATGAAGTAAGTGGTTAAGTGAGATTCAGAATAGGCTAGAAAGATAGGAGGCAATTAAGTGAGGGATGAATACCTAAGAACCTATAATTAGGTTAGAAATATCAATTACAGAACAAAATGAAAGGAAATCTGATTAGCTGATCATTTTTAAAAAAAAGTTTTCTAGACTGCAAGTAATAAACTGCCACAGTGTTTAAGATGTAAAAGTATTAAATGATCATCTGATCCATACAGTGTTTCGAAGTGGACAGTAATACAGAGGATGATGACAGTAGACAACTTTTAGCAAATTAAATCGTTAAGTCCTTACAAATAAAAGGTGGGCAGACTACGCTATAGTAACTACCCTTCTCCTCTGCCCCGTAACTTAACCTGGGATGATGTACGGTGATACAATGGACGAAACTCCTCTCCCCCTAGATGACTTTATATCAAAAAATCCTGGTAAATCAATTGGAAGCAAGGCCGTGACGGCTGCAATGGGATTTAAGAAGGGCAGAGGAAAACGAGTAGTGCCAACCCAGGATGTTAAACCAAGAGGCAGTCAACTAGGCCACTCTTCCTCCAAAACATGTTTCACCTCTGCTTTCTCCATCCGCGTTAAGCCCTTCACCCTCATCCCACGGGGTCCCATCCCATCGACCTACTAGTTCTCTTCTTGTCCCAAACTACCTTGACCGTCTCCAGACTGGCCCCTTCCAGCACCACAATGAGCCTACGGCCTCCGATCTTGCTTCCCGCCCCGAGTCGGGGCCGCTTGGGCGCGACGGCATCCCAGCCAGGCTCCTGCTCCCCAGCCCGTCGCTCACGAGGTTGGAATCCACCGCTGGGCGCAGCCATCTTGCCACCGGACCGGAAATTGTGCTAACGTCCCTAGATTAAAACCTCCGGCTCGCCCGAATCGCTAACTTCCTCCCGGCTGCCATTTTGAAAGTGGGCGCTTGGAAAGGAAGATGACTTGCTGTCTGGCGCTACCGAAGTCTCTCTGGGAGGGCAGGGTTCCAAAAAAGGGCGGGAACTTCCGGATGCGTAATTCCTGTGCGCGAAGTTCGGGTCCGCAGTGGCCCGAGGGGAGGGTTTAGAAGGGAGCGCACTTCCGGTGCCCTTTCTCCCGCAAGCACCTCGGGCCCCGGACCCTCGTGTGAAGGGTGCGAGCCCTAAACTGGAGTGGGGTAGAGGCGTGCGGGTCGGCACCCCCTGCTGACGCTGGTGCCGCCGGCCTCCGGATCGGACATGGCCCAGAACTTGAAGGACTTAGCGGGACGGCTGCCCTCCGGGCCGCGGGGCATGGGCACGGCGCTGAAGCTGCTGCTGGGGGCCGGCGCCGTGGCCTATGGCGTCCGCGAGTCCGTGTTCACCGGTGAGCACCCTGCGCCCGCCTCTAGACACCAGCCGTCCCTCCCAGACCCCCGCCCGGCCGCGCCGGGTCCCCGCGCCCACCCAGCCCCTCACCCCGCCCCACCAGAGGCCGGCACGTACTCCACGCAGCGGCCAGTCCTCACCCCCACCCTCTCCCCACAGTGGAAGGCGGGCACAGAGCCATCTTCTTTAATCGGATCGGGGGCGTACAGCAGGACACCATTCTGGCCGAGGGCCTTCACTTCAGGTAATGGCGGGCAGAGCGGACTGATCCTGACCCTTCACCCTTGAACGCCGACCCATCAGGGGCTATAGCAGGACTTTCAGTAGGATTCCCCGATCTCCCAGGACAGTGGGTGCTGCTTAGAGTTCCAGCCGCGCATAAACTGTTGCTTTCCAAAGGGAGAAGAGAATTTCTCCTTGTTCGTAGTCATTAAGAGGAGGAGCAGGCCAGGAAACACGTGGTGATGGAAAACCGGGCAAAACTAGTGACACTGCAGTCTCCTAACACCTATCCCTGTTCCCTTCCCTCCAGGATCCCTTGGTTCCAGTACCCTATCATCTATGACATTCGGGCCAGACCCCGAAAAATTTCTTCCCCCACAGGCTCCAAAGGTAGGTCTGGACACGGTAGTCACTGGCAGATGGGCTACCTAAAGTAAACAGGGGAGCGAGGCGGAGACCCTGGGGGCGGGTGGTGGTGAGCTGTAGTAACAGCACTTGCTAGTAGGCTTAAATCAGTACGTTCTGGACACACTGTGTTTGCTCATTTCTGTTAACTGCTCCTCCCCCGTGTTGTAAACTCTGTGAGAGCATTGTTCATCCTTTGTTTTGTTCACTGCCTAGATCAAAGCTTTGTTTTAAAGCCCTTTTTTCTTTTAACTGCTTGGTTTATTAATTATATTCACTAGTACACCCTGTCCTTGGGAAGCTTGGACCCACTCTTCACTGGTGCACCTGTTCTCTCATATACACACACAGAGACGTGTACACACTGAAGCAAGGAGCTCACCTGTAATGCACTTTTTCATACTGTGTTTAGTGCAGGTCGCTTAAAATTCCCTAAACTCTGGACCCTGGGAATAAAGGATTCATAAAACACAATTCTTGTCCTCGAGTTCTTGCAGTCTAGTAAAGGAGACGGGTGGTTATGGTACAGCACATAGAGCCTACAGTGCGCTTGCACACAGTACAGTGGCAAAAAAGAGAGATTAGCTTTGATGGAGGGGTTGCAGGTTGAGAAGACTTCACAGTAGGTAAGGATGCATTTGGCCTGTGCCGAGTCACATCTTGTCACCTAAATTACCCTCCTCCAGACTGCACAACATTGCACTAGGTGTGGAGGGAAATGCATGGAGGAGAAAATGCTTGGGAGGGGTGCTGGTCTACCAGGCCAGATAAGGCCCCCATGGCCTTGAGCAGCCACTGCTGACATCGCTCTTAGACCTGCAGATGGTGAACATCTCCCTGCGAGTGCTATCTCGACCCAACGCCCTGGAGCTTCCCAGCATGTACCAGCGCCTAGGGCTAGACTACGAGGAGCGAGTGTTGCCGTCCATTGTCAACGAGGTGCTCAAGAGCGTGGTGGCCAAGTTCAATGCCTCACAGCTGATCACCCAGCGGGCCCAGGTCTGACTCTAGCTCCTGTCACCATCTGATTTGTGTCAGCTTTTCCCTGCTAGGCCCAAGGCACTGGGGGTTAGCAAAGGCAACTCAGAAAAGGGTTGTGACCCTAGTTCCATTTCTACCTGAAAACTGTACTCATGGTCATTGTGGGAAACGAGGAGAGCCAAGACTAGAACTCGATAACAGTCATTGTTAGGAAGCATGGGAGAAAACAGTAACAACGTCTGGGGGTGCATACTGGAGAGAGTAGAAGGTTAGGAGTCAGTGGGACCTGCTGAAAAAGAGGAGCATGTCCTTTCCAACTCAGGTGTTGTAGTGAGGAGCTGAGAAAGGGTTAGTGAGCTTGCTGCCATTTTTAGGAGAGCTGGTATTTAGAGGATCACAGCAACACACCTTCCTTTCAGTTTTCTGGTTCCCTCAAACCACTTCCCCCTTCCCCCCCTCACCCCACCCTCCAGGTATCCCTGTTGATCAGACGGGAGCTGACAGAGAGGGCCAAGGACTTCAGCCTCATCCTGGATGACGTAGCTATCACAGAGCTGAGCTTTAGCCGAGAGTACACGGCTGCTGTAGAAGCCAAACAAGTGGGTGAGTTACAAGAGGCATAGGGCAAGGGTTTCTGAGAATGCGGGGGAGGGCTGGGGTTCCTGACACCTCACATTTCTGACCCCTTGACCCTCTCCCACCACAGCCCAGCAGGAGGCCCAGCGGGCCCAGTTCTTAGTGGAAAAAGCAAAGCAGGAGCAGCGGCAGAAGATCGTGCAGGCTGAGGGTGAGGCTGAGGCCGCCAGGATGATATCCTTCTGCTGGAGAGGTGTCAGCTCAGCCCCCGGGGCACCTTGCTTTCCCCACCCTCCCTCATGGGCTGGCTGATGAGACTAAGGCGAATGCGACTCCGTGCTCTCTATCCTTGGCTTCCTGGGGGTGGAGGTTTTGAATGGAATCTGAAATCTTAGTGGGGTACCTGAGGCCTGGCTCCTCACTGTAATGCAGATCAACAGCACTGCTGGCCTTGCCTCTGTTTCTGCTGCTACCTCCAGTGACTGGCAGCTGCCTGGAGGAGGGCCCACAGGTGGGGACCAAAGTAGGACTAGGCACGAGGCAGCTGAGCGCAACCTTGGATCTGACAGCCCAGAGGAGGGCTGGAGTGAGGGGAGTAGTAAGGATGAGGCCAGGGATTGAGGCTGGCTTGTGTGACCCCTTAACTTCACTCTGCCCACCTTGGAGAAGCACTAAGCAAGAACCCTGGCTACATCAAACTGCGCAAGATCCGGGCAGCCCAGAACATCTCCAAGACGGTGAGTTGAGAGCCCAGCCTCTCAGGGGCTGCCTTGAGAGCAGATGTTTTCTGTTAAAGTACATTCAAGTGGAGGAATTAGAGTCTTGCTCATTCAGGTTTCTACTCAAACTGGCTTGTCTGACACTCTTCCCCTCTCACCAAAGAAGATTCCTCTGGGCTCCCCTGCCCTTTTCTTCATGCCTGTTATCATATTGACACATCAGTGGGGCTCGCTGCTCTCGGTCCTTGTGTAAGGGCAGAAAGCATGTCCTCATTGCTGCATCCCTGTTCCTGACTCACATGTGTTCCATCGGTGGTTACTGAATTGCAAAGATGGGGGTCAAAGTCAAGTATCTGTCTTATTTCCTGCCCTGTAGATTGCCACATCACAGAATCGTATCTATCTCACCGCTGACAACCTCGTGCTGAACCTACAGGATGAAAGTTTCACCCGGTGAGAGATGTGACTGTCCCAGTGGGGTGTCACAGAGAACCTGAGACCTGAGTCTGGTCACTTAGGCTCTGGAGCCTGTTGCCAGCTTACTCTTGTGACCCTTGAAAAACACCATTTCTCTGAACCAAAGTTAGAAAAGTGGGTGGTTGGTAATTCCTAATAAATATCATAGGATTGATTTTTTGAGATCAAAAAGGATTATTCATCTAAAAAGCACTTTAATTGTAAAGGTTTGTCTAACTGAAAAGTGGGGAAAGATGATATTCACTGTACTTATTTGGGACCTTTGAATTACTACTCTGGGGCACAGAAGGATTCTAGGAAAGGAGAGATGAGAAGTGGCATGGTCAGGGAACCCAGTGTCTTCCTCTCCAGAGGCTGAGATTTCTGGCTGTCCAACCCATTTGTCTTTTTCCCTTGGGAGCAGAGGTGGGTTTAGAGCTGTTTGGGGCCTGAAGCTGGCAAATCACATGTGCATTTCTCTTCTCTTTCTCTGTTCCCTGTTCATCTGGTGACCTGGTGTCCGCAGAGGAAGGTAAATTGTTGGTGCATCCTTGTTGCTATGGGGACTTGCGGCTACTGTCCCGGTACCTGCCTCCTTCCCCCTAACCTCACCTTTCTGACCTGCCACACTCCCCTGCCCCCTCACACGCCCTCATCTGGAAGGAGGGTAGTTGAGGAGGGAGTGGCTGGAGGTGCTCTGCCTCCTCTAACGTCGTCCGTCTGTCTGGTTTCCAGTGACAGCCTCATCAAGGGTAAGAAATGAGCCTGGTGAGGAGCTGCACCCCCGAGAAGTGGATCTGTGCCTGGTGTTTGAGGAGCCGGCTTGGGGCCCAGCCCGCCCCACCCCACCCCCAGCATCATGTGATGGTACCCTCTGCATTTCTCCTCCCAATCCTTAGATGAACGATGACTGACCCGTTTTCAGGGGAATGACTTTCCTCCTCCCTGTATTGGCCAGGGGTATCGGGACAGTGTGTGATTTCTCAGTGATTTCCTACCGTGTTGGTTCCTCTCAAGGTTGGGAGGCGATAACCACCATCCCAGGAATTCTCAATAAATTTTTATTACTTAAGCTGAAGTTAAGTCTTCTGTTTCCGAGCTGGGTTAGGGAGGCACACATGTACTTTGATTACACACTCCTGGGTCTTTGCCAGCAGGGGGCGCAAAGACTGGCCTGCGCCCTGCTGCTCACCCTGGGAGCCCACCAGTCAGATCCAAAACAGGACCCAAGCTGGGGGCAGCAGGCCCTCAGATCCTGAAGGCCAGCTGCACTGTTTATCCTACCCTCTGTTACTACCACATCACCCCATTTATTTACCAACATCTCCTTTTTTAAGGCTGGAACAGCTGTGGCTTTGCTGAGCTAGACCAAAAATCTGATGACCCCAACACAGCTGCTTCCTTGGTGACTGGGTTCCGTGTAGCTGTCGGGGAGACCATTTGTGCCTGTCGAGGGACTTAGATGTTCAAAAGCCCAGTGAGTCGTGTTGCCTGCTGTGGGCTACCCGTACTTTGAATTTCACAGTCACCAGATGCATTACCAGAGCTCTAGCTACAGAGGTGGCTCCACTCCCGCTTCTCTGGGCCCTCAGCAGAACAGGTGCCTGTCTTCAGTCCCTGTGTAAGCCATCTCACATCCCTCCCAAGACAGCCCTCGCTGAATCTCAAGCACCAGAGAAATGAAGACCCTGCTTGTGCCCACATGCCACTACAGCCCGTTTCCCATCCCTTGTCCTTAAAGGGAGACAAGGGACATTGGAAACCATAAGAGAGCATGCGGGACAAAAGTATGCACAGAAATTAAAGGCTTGGTGAGTAGGGGAGGAGGTGAGTCTTAAGGGTTAGGGCCTAGGTTCATCTTCAGCTTCTTAGATTTTTGGAGAAAGTAGATTAATTATCCCCTGCTTTGCAGGTTGAATGTCATGAAAGGGACAGGGAGATGAAGCAGATGTGGCAGCCCCACTCCCCAGGAGCTGGAAGCCTAAAATGAGACTGAGAGACAAAAACGGGTCAAGTGATCTCAGATCAGCCTGCCACAAGTTTCTATTCACACTTTATTTCTTTCACGTCCCCAAGACAGGAAGAGAATGGAGGTGCCTGGAGAGCAAGTATGTTTCCAAATCCTGCCGCAGCTCCAGAGGCAGCCATTTTGTCTCCTCCCCATTGTTCCCCTTTTCCTAGTGATTTTCCCCCCATCCGGAGGGGTAAAGGTCAGAGGTTGGTCAGGAGGCCTCCATGGTCTTCAGGGCTCCCTGAAGGTCATTGGCGAGGGAACCGGCCCGGGGGCCATCTTTACCAGACAGTGTTAGGAGCTTCACAATTAGACCATCCAACACTGTACTGGAAGATGGACCCAGAGCCGGCTGACGTGCAGCTCCAGGCTAGAGCTGACCAGTTGCTACAGGGACCCTGGCTGCAGGCCAGGTGAGGTCTCGAGAGTTCCTGAGCCAATCCCAAGCTCAAGGTCGGCTGTGGGTTCTGGATCCACCAAATGACAAATCACACTGGGTTGGGGGAAGGGCTCGGGGCCATTGTGTCCCTTCAGCGGGCAGTCAGCCAACAGAGAGCAACCTCTTCTGCAGCACCCTCCACTCAAAATGAAGGGGCTTCCAGGTTGTGTAGGGAGGGTTGGGAGGGGGGGTTGCCACTGGGGCCTGGGGGCCTGAGGCAATGGATGTCGCTGATACAGGAACAGAGGCCTCCATCATTACCCGGCAGTATTAGAGACTCCCAACCAGCACCCAAACACTGCTGGGTAAGACGGGGGCCCCCGCCCAGCCTGCCCCCCTCCAAGTCAGGCAGTCCTAGGCCCAGGCTCCAGGTGGAGAGGCTGCAGAACCCCGGCTCCCATCCCCCCACCACCCGCGTCCCTGGGGACACTTCCGGGTGAGCCCTGCAGCCCGCCACCAGCCCCACCCTGACTCCTGATCCACTGAGGCCCAGGCAGGGCTTCAGCAGCCCCCTGCCCGTCTCTTCTCCGCCTCTGAGCCCCTTCCCCCACCACCCCCACAGCTTGCCCCTGCCCCCAACACACAACAATTCGCCAGACCTCATCCCCCAACTGCAATCCCCAGCTCAGCCCAAGGACCCCTCTCCGGGTGGCCTTTACCTGTCGGCAGGGCCGCCTGCCCCCTAGAGAGTGAGTGCTGAGGAGAGGAAGGGGAGTCGAGGCCCAGGATCCAAGGGCCGAGAGCCGCCCTGGCCTCCACTCTTCCTCCTTCCTTCTCCGCCTGCCAGGCAGCAGGCTCCTCACCTGGGCCCCGCCCGCTGCCCCTGCGCACAGGTGTGTCCTCCTGCTATAGGCTGCCCCCCCACCGCCTTAACCCCTTACCTCCCTGGGCCGCTGCAGGCGTCTCCTCTGAGGCCTGGCCACCCTACTAGGCCTCCCAGCCTTTCCAGGCCATCTCTTCTCTCCTACCTGCCTCCTCAGCCGCCAGGCCAAGACTAGGGAGCGTGGTCTCCAGAGGGACAAAGGGAGAGGCTGTCTTGGGTCCCTGTTGCCTTCCTCCTTGGCCTCTCCCCACAGCCACTCCTGCCCCCAGCTAGCCCATTCCTCTGAGGCTTCTGACCCTGCCCATGGTAGAGCTGGAGGCCCAGAGATCCCCGCGGTCAGCGAGGGGTCAGCTCGGCAGGGATTGGGTTGTGCCTCCGCCCATGCCCAGCCTGTGCTGGGCATCCTGTCAGTGGAGGGCAGGCAGGTCCCAGCAGGGCGCCTCCCCGTCCTCAGCCCGTGTTGGGGTGTTCCCCTGCTGAGAGGCCCAAGCTGGCCAGGAGCATCAGCACTGACCTGGCCAGTTGAAGCCTGAGCTGCTCCCCCTCAGCCCTCGCATGGCGCTGCAGGGAGAGGCCCCGGTGCTCTGCTCCGACCTCTGCTCCAGGGCCCAGGCAGAGCCGCCAGGGACCCACCTCAGTGCCTTGGGCACTTAGCCCAAGGGCGGTTAGAGGGGGTGGGACCTGCCTTTCTTTTGTGCAGCTCTAGCTGTTGCTGGGAGAGGGGCCCTGAGGCCCACAGGTGAGCGCCCCACCCTCCCACCCCTTGGAGGGCGGACGGCTCCAGGGAGCTATTGTGGTGCCCAATCCAAGCTCTCCTCCCTCCCTCCCTCTCTCCTTTGTTTGCGTCCTTCCTTAGACCTGATGCACTGATTTTGTGTTTGTGGACTGTTTCTGGGTCTGTCCCCACTCCCAGTCTCCTAGGTCCCACAAGGACAGGAACTGCCTTGTTCACCATGGGGCCCCCAGCACTGCCCCAGTGCCTGCGACCCAGTGGACACTCAATAAAGAGAGTATACGCTTGGGGCCGACCCCGTGGCCCAGTGGTTAAGTTCACACGCTCAGCTTCGGCAGCCCAGGGTTCGGATCCTGGACACAGACCCAGTACTGCTCATCAAGCCATGCTGAGGCAGCAACCCACATGCCACAACTGGAAGGACCCACAACTAAAGAAAAAATATACGAACTATGCACTGGGGGGGGGGGGGGGTGCTTTGGGGAGAAAAACGAAAAATAAAATCTTTGAAAAAAAAAAAGACAGTATATGCTGAATGGTGAAGGCCAGGCCCTCGTTGCTTCAGGACTGTGCCCACTCGGCAGTGGAGCCAGTCCTTCCTGAGCAGGACTCACAGTCCGAACTCCCGGGAGACGAACATTTTAAATCAAGAGAAAGCACGACGCAGAGAAGGAATCGCTGTAGTCCACAGGTGAAGGCAGAGGGGAGGACAAAAAGTAAAACTCTGACCCGGAGCGCAAGGGCAGCAGCTGCCCCGTGGAGGGAGGAGCAGGCGCTCCTGTGAGCTCTCAGGAACCTGAGGCGGGGGAGGGGCTGTTGGCGATGCTGGGCCCGGGCTTCCTGGCCTTTAGCCATCTCATTAGCTCTTGGATCTACAAGTCAGCAACAGGGGTGCATGGTTGTGTCCCCCTGGGGTGACCCCTGCTGCATCTCTGTGAGTGTGGGTTCTGCGGCCAGGTGGTCTGAGTTAAAATCTTAGATTCAGTGCTCAACAGTCCTGTGACCTGGAGCAAGTTATTTAATCTTATCCATGCCTCAGTTTCCCCCACTGTAAAGTGAGAGTGACACAGTCGCCTACATTGAATTACTACGTGTAGCCTTTAAACAGTGCCTGACACATGGTTAGCGTGCAATGAATTACTGCTGCCAGTTGTGATCATCATCCCTTATCTCAATCTCTTCACAACCACCCAGTGAGGACCATCCTCCACCATCCTCCACTTCAAAGGAAGGAGACTGAGGAACCAGCCCGGGGCGGTCATATTCCCAACATGTTCAGCGGAGTCCAGAACCAACTGTCTGACTGCGCAGGCTGAGCTTTCCCGCGCCCACAGCACCTCTCCCTGCCCACCGCCCCTCCCACCCAGGCACACAGAGTTAGAGACCCACACACAGTGTTCCTAGGGGCTTTATTTACAGGAGTAGAAGGGCCTGGCCCCCATCTGGGGCCTTGCTGGGCTATATACAGGGTCAGGGAGAGGGAGGTGGGGACACCGTCATTTAAATTACAAAAGAATGGGGCAGGCTCCTAGGTTCAGTCTGCGGTCATCCATTCACTGGAGGCCTCCACAGGGATCAGGGCTGAGGCTGCAGAGACAGGGGAGTTCGAGAGTCAGGGGTGGCTGGAACTTGGGGAAGCAGCAGGTCTGGGATGGCCGGAAAGGGAAGGGTGAGGCTACAGCCACCCATCCATCCAGGGGAAGCACCAGAGCCAGGGGACATGGGGGCAGGGCAGCGAGAAGCCGGGTAGAGCAGAGGCCGTACCTCAGGAAGTGCCCCCCTCACTTCCTTTTGAGGGAACCCTTGCTCTTCTCCTTGTCCGCTGACCGTTGCTTCTTCACCTTCTCCTCCTTCTTGTTCTTAGTGTGCACGTTCTCGTACACATCCTCCTTGTGTCTGCAGGTGGGGTGGGCAAGTGTGGGCAGTTGGTGCAGGTCAGGGGACAGTGCAGGACTACCCAGCACCAGCAGCCCCCTCTGGGCCACCCCATCTCACAGGTGAGCAAACTGAGGCCAGGAAAGCGAGGAGACCTGGTCACTGTCCTTACACTGGACTGGAAGCTCCTGTCTAGTCGGGCAGAGGATCCACCTCACACATTAGTAGAACACCAGTACCCAGCACAGGCCCCACGCAGAGGGCACTCAGGAAATACTTGTGAACACAGGGAGTAAGAACCAAGTTTGAACTTGAACCCAGGCCTCCCCAACAGCAGCGCTTGTCCTCTCTGGAGAGGAGGGTCGGGCGGGGAGGAGAAAGGGGCAGACTGGGAGACAGGAGGTAGGGTCACTCACTTGGAGGAGGTGCGAGAGGCCTTGGAATGGGCATTCTTCATGGCTGGGGGGTAGGTGATGTTCCCGTACTCTGACTCTCGGCCCTTCTGGGACTGTGGGCAGAGGTGCGATGGGAGAGTGGTGGTCCCAGCAGGACCAGGTGATGCCCCCTGCCTCCCCGCATCCCTGTCAGGCCCTGCTCTGCACACACCTGCATGACCTCCAGCTTCTTCTTGGTGGTTTCAATGAACTGGGCAATGGCCACGTAGATGAACTTGTACTGTGCCTCCGTCTGCACCATGCCCGAGCGCTGTGCCCGCACCATCTGGATCGTCTTCTGGATGTCGATGTCACAATCCAGCCCTGGGCAGGGACAGCAGTAGGACTTCAGGCCCAGGCAGAGGCGGACACCGGGGGAATGCCCACCCCCCCACCCTGGATGCCCCACAAGTAACCCTCACCCTTGGTGGAGATGCTCTCCATGAGCATATCGATGACAATGATGGTGCCTGTGCGGCCAATGCCTGCGCTGGGGAGAGAAGGGGGCACCATCAGAGGCCCAGTCCACACCTTTCCAGGAAGGGGGAGCCCCAGTGCTCAGCTCCAGCATGGGGCAGGGCATAAAGAAACTGAGGCTCCAGAGAGATGAGATAACATGCCCAGGGTCACTGGGCAGGCAAGCAAGGGGCAGAAGTTTGCCCAACTCTGCACTCATGTTCGCCACTTCAGCCAAGAGATTTGTGGTGAAGGACCTGGCTCTCGAGTGCTAAGACGCTGGTGCCCCCGGACATGTCCACCGTTTTCCTTCTTCCCAGCATCGTGCTCCTCCACTGCCAGCCTGATCCCTGACTCCTGGCTGGTGGCTGTGCCCCCCACCCCAGAATCTAGGACCCCCAGTCCCACCACTGTCCTGCCTGCTCCACAGGCACACTGGCCCCCCTGGTCCTCCCCTACACCCTTGGCCTGAGCCAGGGCTCCCCCAGCCCTTTGAGAGTTATATTTGGAGCTTCTCGCTGCACGGCTTCATTTCCCTTTTTCTTCAGACTCCGACGGCAGAGAAAGGGCAGCCCTTGAGACAG